TTTAAAAGTAAAACTCCTGTCAAATAATCACAAGACATGACTATGACAAACATTTTTTTACATTGTTACTTGCCCAAAACAATTATTTAAACAAATACAATGGTCAACACAAAAATAACATTTAAAAAACATAAACAATAAGAAAAATAAACAATTCAATAAATAAAATTGTGATCATAAATTAAATACAATCAAAATGTTCAATGTAAATGTTTCAAATAAACAAAACTAAAAATACATTTGATAAATTGCAAATGAAAATATAGGCTTTTTTAAACTTTTGCTCAGTAGAACCAGAATCTGCTCTTCATATTAATGACAAACAATAACAGTAACAACAGCTTTTTGACAAGTTTAAAGTTTCTTTAAAATACATTCAAAGTGTTTAAAAATAAACTTCAAAAATTAATTTGATAAAGTGCAAATGTATTTGATAATGTTTTGAACTTTTAAAATATTGCTTGGTAGAACAAGAAGCTGCTCTTCGTAGTAGTGACAAACTTTGTCCTTTTTTGATGGGTTRCCTTCGTTTTTKCTTCTACTTTTCATTTAAAATAGGTTTCTATTATCGGCAGGTTTCTAAGGTTCTTCTACATATTAAAAAAAGTTGTTAAACATCTAAGTGGCGCACTACAGCTACTAGTGGTGAGAAAGTGTATTGCAACTTATTCAAAATCAATGCAGTCCCGYGACCCTCTGTGGTCCAAAGTTAAAAACTGTTGTTCTTTTGAGGCCCTCAAGGTGGCTCTCTATGGGTTAAGAATCTCTGATCTACATGATCTGATACCTTAGATCACATGTCAAATTTAAGRCCCGTGTGCCAAATGTGGCCCACGTGTGACCTCAGTCTGTCCTGCCATAAGGGCCAGTTGTACATAACTCTCAACAYTTCACGTTTGACCTCAACTAAACATGAAACGTCACATTCCTCRTCTCATTGCTACTGCTGAGCACCTCTAACAAACAATAGCAGCTCTATGTGGTATTTTCTGCATAGAAACAGTGTTTTAACACTGAAAATTGCTACTGTTGAGTTGTGGTAAGTATTGAATTCKGAACTCTCCCACATTTCAGACAGGGAATTTCCATGCATAAACAACATGAGTTATGGGAGATGTAGCTTATGGTCAATGTTGGCTTTAAAGCAGCTTATTTTGAGACATTAATACAGTTACTTAAAGCCAACAACTCAGGGGCTGGACAACTATTTTTATCCTTCTCCTTTACATTTGTTTATTTTGTTGCATWGAATCGAAAATTTACCATTGATATAAAAACAATTTTCATGTTAAATTTACATTAAATGGTATGGTAATAGTATGGTGGGCCCAATGAAAGACACTCAGGGGCCACATTTGGCCTGCAGGCCTTGAGTTTCACACAGGCTTTAAATAAACTTTTTGGTCTGCTTCCAACCAAAACATAAAACTGGTATCTTGTGCTGATGTTGACTTAGGCATACACCTCTAGTAAACATAATAAAATAGTTATTGTTTGTTTCCACATACATTATTTTGTTTTTGTCTTCAGGAAGGTAAAGAATACCTGTTGAAAAGCGTGGGAACGTGGCTCCCTGCACAGAAACAAGGTGCAGCTTCCTCCACCACAGAAGAAGACACGCAGGTGAGTTCTGTGTTCTGGTTTCTTTCACTGCACTCAGGGCCAACGAGATCCCCATTTTATTTATAAAGCTCTTTGAACTAGCAGCGTTGTCACAGAGCGCTCTGCAGCACACAGACTTAAGGACGCCAGTAGAGATGAAACGTACGAGATAATGAAGTGAAACATAATAAAATAAAACATAAAAGATATAAGAAGTAGTCCTCAAACTTGYGTGCTGTTGAGTCAAAGAGTGCGAATAGAAAGGCTGATGTGACAGGCAGTTCCAGGAAATGTTTTTTTTAAATATAATAGCTTCAGCTTTAAAGCTGGGACACAAATACCTCCTTATAAATTACACCAGCGTTAACGCTGAAGAAATTGAACAAATGTTGATACAGAAGGGYTGGTGGGATGATTTGCTGGAAGAATCCCAGCGACTCCACAGTTCCGGCTCTTATCTTCACCAGCAGGTTGATCTGAGCACAGCCTGCTGACACTTTGACTGAGATTAACAGCCAAATAGCTGCTGAGCATTTTGCACCCTGAAATTGGATCGAGTTACTATCAGACAAAGGAAGAACAATGTTTGTGGTTGCTTGTGTAAACACTCACTGCAGAGGTTGATGGCATTGTCCCTTTTTTKTCTCTTCTCCTTCCAGAATGAGATCCCTCCATACGAGTCTCGCATCACCACCGCCAAACTGCTTATCGAGTCCGAGGAATATGAGGTAATATGTTTGCTGTGCTCTCACACTCTGGTTTAGTCGGTCTGTGCGTGTTTCACGGCGGGAGGGCGACCTGGCCTTTCTGTGTTTGTGTGTGTCTGCTTTTCTTTCCAGTGAATAGCGCTGGAGGTGGGAAGGCCATGCTTGGTCTTTATGCCCTTCAGAGTTTAGTGTCAATAATTGAAGAGTGGTATTTACAGAGAGAAACTGGGGTGAGGGGGTGCAGAGCGGAGGAGGACCGGAGAGGAAATGTATATAAAAAATATATATATATATAATGCAATGAACCTCTGTTT